AATAGGCAGAGCTGGAAACAGTGAAAGTGACGTACAACACTTGTCAGCGTGTACATTCGCCGTCAGTCACGTGGGGAAATTTAGATGATTCTGTTCAGCATGGAAAGCAGATACCACCCCTGTCAGAAAATGGATGTTATCGCACTAGTACAAAATGGAAGTATGTGTTTCAGAAATATCAGAAAAGCCAACTGTGACCACCTTAATTATTGACGGAGCTGTCACTGCTCATAAGTTGAAACCTGGTACTGGGTAAACATTTGGGAAATATGTCTTCTGTTTTTTTGGTATGATCCAATGTTTTCATAACTAATTCATAGCTAAGACTACAGTGCCGATCCGTCGAATGCATTTTACTACTCTGAAATCAGAAATTCGACGGATCGGTACGCGACCATCAAGTGTAGGTGAACTGGGGTGTAGGTGAAATGAGAGTGTAGGGGTTATGGGTGTGAACCGTCTTCACTTCTCCCTTGTAGTCATCAAGAAACCTATATTCACACCATACGTGCCATGTATATGTGTGAAGGCGCGTTTGTGTAACTCAAGGGAGTGTGGGAGGCTAATGTCCAATTTTAGACCGATGAATATTAGGTGGTCAGGTTCGCTGACTTGACTGACATGTCATCGTATCCCCGACAGCTCATGCTGTCGATCACTTCATTGTCTGGTCCAGATTCGATTATTTACATGCCATACACTCACTATTCGTGGAATACAACTCCGGTAACAACGGGTGTGCATTTCACGTCTCCCTAATACACATAACATTTCAGAGATAGGCCTATAACTAAAATGAGATCACCATATGTCCCACCCTCAATCGTCTCCTTAGCCAATCTCTACCGATACGAAAAACTGTCAGTAAGTTAGTTCGCTGATTTATTACCAGGTGCATTCGTGACCAACTCGTGTTATTCCGGGACAAGCCGAATAGCGCAGGTTACGGAAAGGGGCGAGTGGTGACGAATGCACCAGGTGCATGTGACGTCAAATAAAGGAAGTGAGTCCTTCGCTTAGCCAATCAGCTGTCAGTTTGAAAACAGAATCTTCTACGGGGGTGTCGTTCGTCACTAAAACAACCTAAGAGACCATCAGTCTGTCTCAGATGCGTTCCTTGTCTGCTATAGGTATAAATAAGCTGTTGACTCTCATCCAGATCAGAATTCACAGGGATATACAATAATACTGTCTATTGGTACGAAAGAGCCTAAACCTATTGAGCTCTTAAACTCTTGAGGTGAATCCGTGTCCCTGAATTTCATCATGACATTGGGTGTTGTACTCGCTTGCCTGCTGGCAACGTCGGCTTCAGTGGGTAAGTAGCGACGTACAGAGTTTGACTGTCCGGTATTTTAATTGTGCACTGATGATATTCTGTAAAACCTTCAGCTGTTTAAATGACGGGTCCGCTCCGAAACCAGTACATGAGTACCCTGGAATCCATCTATGATAGATGTATGTATACGATTGAATTACATATTCAAAGGTTGACGGGGAAGCCGAGTGGTTAAAGGGTTCGTTCGTCCCGCCGAAGCCCCGGGTTCTATTCCCCACAAATATTGCCCAACCTGAACCTACGCTTTAGTGACTGGCTATTCCATATTTGCTAGTGATACTCGCGTGATACTTTCATGACGTTAATGTTTGCTCCGCGCTCCGGAATTTCCTAATCAGCAATCCTTCTAATTATGAACCAAATATTGTTATTTATGGTCGTACCTGTGTAAACCGATTGTAATATATATATATTAACGTTTATGATATTTGTAAATCATGGATTCTGTGTTCCCATGCTAAGATATGGGGGCATTCAGGTGGGCCTGTTCTTAAAGCGTTGACTCATCAGGCCAAAGGTCTGGTTCGATTCCCGACTTGGATACAATGTTTGAAGTTCGTTCCTGGTACCATCCTTGATCGTACTGAAATAGTGTTTAAAGGGACGTCAATCCTTAACAACAGGAGCTGAATCGTCGCTGAAGCCATCGTCAGCGATGCAAAATGTTTCGGAACGTCTCATATGTGAATAAAGTGGAGGTGGCGTGGTTGTGTACACTATCAGTCGCCCCTGTTGCCATAGCAAACGTTGTTCATGATAACAATATGTCGCAGCTTACAGCAAACATGTTGCTCCTTCATCGGGACAAATTATATAATAGAACTTGTTTCGTCATTCAATTAAGGTCTATGCGATAAATAAGAAGTTGTCATTCATAAAGTCGTATGCCTCGTTATTTATTCACCAGCCATATCGTTCCAACAATATCAAAAAATATATCTTATCGTGTAAAATCGAATTTGCGATATGAAGGATACCATTAATATAATGTTTTTATATCAGAAAGTGAGAGAATTATATTAGCTTTTGTCAGGGTTAGGGTTAGGTTCAGTCATATTGATGAATATAGAACATCAACGAGTGTTTTTAATCCATAGTTAATATTTTGGGATTTACCATTGGTTAGCATTACGTATAACTACTAGAGACCAAAGTGTTGGCGGAACTCCTGCTGGGACATCATGCAGGAACTAGAGACACCGTAAGTCCCAATGATGCCAAGTAAGGTAGACCAGCTGTGGTTGTTAGTGGTCTGTAGCCTAGCTTCAATATAATTTATCCTAAATCTTCTGTTTTTAATACTGAAGTTGTTTCATTTATAATTGAATTGTGATATCTATATTACTGTTTTATTGCAAGTTGTCTACAAACATTTAATAGTAACTAAGTTAAACATTTTCTTAGTACTATGTGGCTGCAATATTGCCGTTGCGAAAATGCAGATGCAGGAAGCTAATGTATTGTAAGTCCCCATGCTCCCTAGTATGGTGATCTACCTTCAGTCGATGGTAATCTATAGCCTATTTTTATATTGTATTGTCATTATAGTTGAAATATTTTAGATTTAATTACTAGTTTTAAATGAATAGCTGTGATGCACTAGTAGTTTTACTGTTCTTCGTCAACAGGCTTTTATTTTCTATCTTTATTTATCTTTGATATAATTATTTAACTACTTGTATTTATTGTGAATGTCCAACATTTCTCGTCACTGCATGGATGAAATATTGCCGAGGTGACGTTAAATTCTTACTCACTCACTCACTCTAATGGGCACGTGGGACATTAACTGTAGGATCAAAGATGTGTCTTGCTATCAGTGTTTCTGCATGCCACGACACAGTTCCAAAAGTAGGAGACCCGTGAAGGTCCGGGTTAGAATGAACTTTCAGTAACCCATGCTTGTCGTAAGAGGCGACTAACGGGATCGGGTGGTCAGGCTTGCTGACTTGGTTGACACATGTCATCGGTTCCCAATTGCGCAGATCGATGCTCATGATGTTGATCACTGGATTGTCTGGTCCAGACTCGATTATTTACAGACCGCCGCCATAGAGCTGGAATATTGCTGAGTGTGGCGTAAAACTAAACTCACTCAATCCATAAGTAGGAGCCAGGGTCAACAAAAACTAGTCAATTGTTCAAATAAGTTTATTTTACGTGTGTACATGTATGTAGCCACACAATATGGAAACTTGTCACGGGAGTGTCTCCATCCCTGTTTCTCTCTGAAAGTAAACAGCAAGTGATGAGTGACATTTCTAAACTTGTTTCATCAGAAATTGAAGAAAAAGAATTTAGTAAATAGTCAACAGTTATTTTTTTGGTCCTAATTAGCCTTGATAATGTCTGTAAGTTTGTGAGCTCCGTAGTAATGCTGGTTGGTTTAAGTTAAGTGAAAAAAGCACCTTCAGGTCACTTCAGCAGTTCAGCTGCCATGATATTAACACGGACGGCAGATAAAGAGACGCTGACCATGTCCACCAACTCCTGCCTCTCGAAACAGTGGAAGTCTTGATGAACTTACGGCGGCGGTTGATGAACATTTTACATTGGCTCTCGATACATCCACTTTAGAATAGATCATTGTGCAAGTCAGTGAGCACGGGCTAGGCTGACATCAGTTATTTCATAAACAAGTTCACATAACCACTAACACCCGGCAACCTCACTGATTTTAGTGCTCTATTCATTTGACCTTCACATATGTGTTGATAGCCGAGACATTGAGACAAACGGCCTTGTGGAAGCTTGAAGCTGAGTGGAAGAGATGACTTTGTGTGATGGCCATTAAGTGCCTAACTCTAAGAGCTGGGTTAACATGGTACACAACCTAACAAAATTACTCGAATCGGTACTTTAATGAGAAAGTTTAATCCCAAATATTACATGCGTTACATTTGCCCACTTTCTAAGTGGCAGCATGGACTTGTCGTAATTAGGGATGTAACGATTCATCGAACTTTCGATATCTTGCAATTGCTGAGTCTCCGATAGCAATTAATCGATGGTAGAAACGAAAAACTGTCGATGCATCGATAGTATGTGTGGCTATCAATAGTTTAGTTATTGACTTCCGTTGATTGCGTAGCGCAAAATACGGGATGTTTGGGTTCAGACTTGCAGCTTCATTGAGTTTATGTTGTAACTGTTTTACTTTATCTGGGTTTCAAGTTTGTTGTCAGTTATTAAAAGAGACTGAAACGTAGCGCTTCAAATCATCAATGAGAAAAACACTATTGCAATGTTTGGGTTCAGTTGTTTCCCCTCAATAGTCACCCCGAGTTGTAATGACGCAGTGCGGAAACATTCATTTCCACACCTTCCATACATAGGTGCACCGTCAACAATGGCTCTGAGTATATTGAAACTGTTGGGTATGTTGTAACTGTTTACTTTATCTGGGATTCAAGTTGTTGTCAGCTATTAAAAGAGACTGAAACTACTTCAACTTGTTTTTATTTAATATAAAACTATATCATTCATTCATTCGGGGAATGTCTTCAAATCAGACAACTCAATGAGAAAAACACTATTGCTATAGTATTGCAATTAGTTGGTCGCAATAGACTATCGCTATCGCAATAGTTGTTTCCCCCTCAATAGTCACCCCGAGTTGTAATGACGCATGTGCCGAAACATTCATGTTCCACACCTTCCATACATAAGTTCTTCTACACTCACAGCTGTCGCATTCATTGCGGTCGGTACATATGTCTGAAATATGAACGTGCCTCTTTAGCACCACAGTACATTTACAACTCTCAGTAGTGTGAGTAGCTAGATTCTGCCATGTGCTGAATCCCTACAATTATCCAAATAGGCCGTGTGATATTACTGGCTGAGTTTGGTTTTACGCCGCTTTTAGCAATATTCCAGCAACATCACGGCGGGCCGTGTGATATTAAGCTACCGAAGCACCAAAACGGACGTTAGTGATTGGGAGAAGTGACCATTTTTTGTAGACATGAGTGGGTTAGATCTCTCTTGTGTGTTCTAGTTTGCTGCTTCGCTCAGAGTGCTGGTTGGAATCACGGATGGGACTCAACACGAAAACGGTACTGGAATTTTGTACTTTACTTTGTTTAATCCCAAATATAACACGTTAAATTTAACAACTTTCTAAAAGGCATTGTGTATTCTTGTCGTTACGCCTTTGGTCTCTTTCTGTTATAGGACAATCTTTCCAAATGCTTACATAATACGTTCACGAATCAAATTTGCCTACTACGGTTATTTTCATAGATCATTATTGTGTTAAATGACATACTTGTAAGACAGGAACCAGATGTGGGTGCAACCATACAGGTGCAAATCCAATCAGAGCAGACAAGTCTTGCGGAATCGTCACAGGTCACAGTGCTTTGAATACACACACTATCATCTATGCAGCCCTTGCTGTAGATCACAGCTAATGCAAAGAAAGAAGCAACATGTTAACATTTGGGCCACATGATTCTCTATGGAGCACGTGAGTCACACCTTTTAACATCATTTCTTTGTATTACGCAAGTGAATAAATGAGCGTGTTTGGCAGGCTGGACAGTAGAAAGTCTTTTGGGCTTCATTCTGCAGCCCATGAAGAACATGGAGTGTTTCACTCGGCAAGTGCCTTTGTTCAAACTTCAGATTAATTTCTTATTTTATACTTACCTGCTTCACGACAAATGCATTTTCCTCCTAGTTCACAAGAAGCCTACTTTATGTACCACTGAATGAAAAGTGTTAACACAATAGCAGTATCTGTCATTTGTGTGCGCTGCGCATGAACAGAAACTCATAATTCCTTCGAAAAGTAACCAATCAGGGTTGCCCAAGTAAGCGGGGAGGTTTGGTAGGACCATACTTACTTGTGAAGCAGGTAAGTATAAAAAAAAGGAACTTACTCTAAATTTTCTATTCATGTAACTTAACAACAATTGCAGGATAATACCACTGCTCGGAGGTGGGAACTAATGATATAATGCACAGTGCAAACTCGCAAGACCTCTGAATAAAATGAACCATCTCAAATTACAGATACACCACGACAGATACACAAAGGTACCCTTGGGCTACCTGCTATAGGAAAACGCCAGAGCTGACAACCCTAGAGCCCACTGGCGCCCGGGATATTTGAGCTGTCAGCGCCACGCGAATCACAAACTGTGTGAACTAACAGAGAGAGTAGGGATGGTATAGGCTCAAGTTTAGTCATGCCGATCTCCATTCTCTATAAACCACAGAACACAATGTAAGTAAACAAATACTGTGTCACAGTGTTTGTTTATTTAACAAACGACAAACACTGTCCAGGGAGGTCAGTCCATCCAGATCATGAGCCGCAAGATCACGAAGGTGGTGGATTGCGAAGGTGGTGTCTCCGGACCAGAAACTGCCTCTCATGATGTCTGATACAGAGATGTTAGAATGCAAGGCCATGGTCGCCACAACAGCTCAAACCTGATGAGGGTTGGACTGAGACGACAGCGGAAGTCCAGCTTTCTTATGAGCCCCTATAATACAGGATTTGATCCAATTCGCAATCTTGTTCTTTCCCATTTCTGGCTAGTCGAAAGGAGTAGTCTCCTGTGAGAGGAGCACAGGGAAAGATCTGTGTACGATCTACACCTTTGGTCTCTTTCTGTTATAAGACAATCTTTCCAAATGCTAGTCGAAAGGAGTAGTCTCCTGTGAGATGAGCACAGGGAAAGATCTGTGTACGATCTACGCCTTTGGTTTCTTTCTGTTATAGGACAATCTTTCCAAATGCTTACATAATTACGTTCACGAATCAAATTTGCTTACTACGGTTATTTTCATAGATCATTATTGTGTTAAATGACATACTTGTAATACAGGAACCAGTTGTGGGTGCAACCATACAGGTGCAAATCCAATCAGAGCAGACAAGTCTTGAGGAATCGTCACAGGTCACAGTGCTTCGAATACATACACTATCATTTATGCAGCCCTTGCTGTAGATCACAGCTAATGCAAAGAAAGAAGCAACATATTAACATTTGGGCCACTTGATTCTCTATGGAGCACGTGAGTCACACCTTTTAACATCATTTCTTTGTATTACGCAAGTGAATAAATGAGCGTGTTTGGCAGGTTGGACAGTAGAAAGTCTTTTGGGCTTCGTTCAGCAGCCCATGAAGAACATTCCCATTTCTGGCTAGTCAAAAGGAGTAGTCTCCTGTGAGAGGAGCACAGGTAAAGATCTGTGTACGATCTACATAGAAGCCCAACCTGGGCACAGGGAAAGATACTCCTCATCTTGAAGACTCCATACAGACGCAAGGGAAGAAATAAAGTATTCCCTAGGGGGCTGTGACGGGAGTTCGTTCCTGGTTATGAAATCCATGAAAAGACCCAACTGAATACTGCAATGTGCCTTACTCTCAACCTTCACCTGTGTGGCATCAGTGGCGTGAATCTCAGATGAGTGAGTGAGTTAGTTAATATTTATAGTCACATCAGCAATATTTCAGACATATCGTGAATATCAGATGATCAAGGTCACCAGGAAGGACACTAGGAACACCGTCTTCGTCGTAAGATGAAGAAGAGTAGCATCTTCAAGTGGTTCAAATTGGTTCATCTGCCAGGTGAGAACCACTGTTAACTGTCAAGATGGAGGCCGAAACCTGTTCACCTAGTCTTCCTGGTGGAATTTGTTGAGGATACTTTTAGGGCCCTCGAATGAGAGGCACCAGCTTTAGACAGCACAGAACCCACAGCAGAGAGAAGTGGTGATCTATGAGCTTTCATTTGTTCCAGGGGAAAAGAAAGAAGATTTAAACCTGAGCAACTGAAGACGAGGAGGCAACGATTTGCCGAGACTTACAGTAAGTAAAAAATGAAGTCCACTGCTTGTCATAGAGCTTCCTTGAGTCCACTGCCAGAAACTCCACGTTGTTCATGTGAAGACCTTATTGTTCTTCTGCCAAAAACCAGGCTGTGGTTGACCCATCCCACCTTTGGAAGAACGCGTCCATGAAAACATGGTGAATAGACTCGAATGGCATCAGGGAGATGCCACTTAGGACATTCGATGGTTGGAGCCACCATTCTAGGTACTACAGGAGACTGCGGGGACAAGGGATCTGGACAAAAAGTTCCTTGTAATCGACCCAAGGAGTCAGAAACTTCTGAAGTGGTCTGAGCATTAGGCATCCTCGGGACATCAGATCCTGAGCGGAGGTGAGAAGGCCAAATAGGAGTTGCCACTCTCTCAACCTGAGGGAGGTGTGAAGCGCCAGCTGGATTAGGGGTTAGTAGGTGTGAAGACTCTTTTGGGGAACTACCAGAGGATCAAGGTCCATCTGGCGGTGACACCCCATGGAGATGAGTGACTGACACAGAGTGAGGTCCGACTTGTCAAAGTTGATGACTCATCACAATCGATGAAAAAGACTGACGATGAAGTCTCTCTGTCTAACAAGCAACAGTGGACAAAGTCTACCGCCTCCTTGGTGTAGTGTTTAGAGCGTCCGCCTGGAGAGCGGAAGGTTGCGGGTTCGATCCCCGACCGCGTCATCGATCCCCTGTCTGGCGCTGGGCATTAATGGGTACGCACTGGTATCTCAGTGAGCTAGCTCAGTGAGCTAGCTCTATAAAACCAGCTTCAGTCTGGGCTAGTACAAGCAGCCGCACATACACATACACACGCATGCACTTCGTCATATGAGCGAAATATTCTCAAGCACGACGTTAAACCCAATTTCACATCACCTCACAAATCGAGGCACATCTCGATGGGGATGCCGGCCTCATGCAAATAACCCCTTACTGGTTGTGTCATCCTGGTAAATAGATACGGGGCCATTCACATTCTAAATGGCAGCACCTACCACTGGTAGTGATGTCCTTGGAAGATGAAGCGCAGGAGCTTGTGATGTGGTGGAAAGATCAGAATGTGCAGGTAAGCACCCCGAACGTCTAAAGAGATCATGATGCGGATCGTCCACATACTTTTTCTTGAAGACCTTCAAGTTGTGGATGATACTCAGCTTGGTTGAATGAAGAAGATTGGACTGTAAAACCAGGGAGTGATGTCGTGGGGACTTAGAACTTCCATGGCATCTTTGTCCACAAGCAACTGAAGTTGTGACACAGCCTGAAGCTGCTTGTCTGGTGCTAGGGGTGCCTCTATTGCCCGGGTGGTCAAGGGTAGAGACACCATGAGCGGAAATATGTACCCTGAATCTAAAACCGAGAAGATGAAGGCGTCATCTCAAATCTGATGCCAGTTGGGTAGGAACGTCGACAGACGACTGCCAAGCTTCACATCCTCCAGAAAACCGGATCTCCCGTGCTGCTAACATCTGAGCACAATGCTCGCCAATTCTTCCAATAAAAGCTTATCAGTAACTTAGGGGCTTGTTCAGGTAAGTCCGATTCCACCAAATTTGAACTGTTACCCAGGGCATCGCAGGTGTGCATTATCTGTTCACTGGCAAGATCTTATCCAAAGCTCTAAATGTGACTGGATCCACTTGGAGTAAATCTGCAATGACCTGGATCTCCTCTGAAGATAGAACATAGGGAGGAGAATCCAGAATCTCATCACCAGAAGCTCGATCCGGAGAAGCGCCTAGCCAAGACAGATGGACAACCAATGGAAAGAGGCATACACTCAATCCTCATCCTCAACAATGGGCACCAAGGGGATGATGGGAGTCGTAGAAGAGTCGGTAGTCAAAGACTGAAGACAAGGTTTAGGTGGCGCCAACAATGAAGACACCCGCACTGTGGTGGTGTCCAGCTGCCTCTGAAAACCAGCAAACCGTCAATCCAACATGGCCTCGAAATCTTTAAAAAATCGCTCAAAGTCTGGACGACAACAGCTGGTGACCTGGGAAGTGGCGGCAAGTGACAGGTGACGACTGGCGCTGGCACTAGGTGAGCTCCTTTGGACAAATGGAGGCCTTAAACAGTAGACTAGGACTGGACGAAATCTGGGGCCAGACCTGCGCCAACCTGATCTGTGAGGAAAGCGACCGTGACTAGAGTGGCCCCAACCTGACGACCTGCACCCAACAAAAGGTGATTCTGAACAAAAGGATTTGCGTTTCCTCGTAGATGACTGGTGCTGCTCAGGTGACTGGTGCTGGACAGAAGACTGGCACTGCTCTGATAACTGGCATTGGGGCCCACATGCTGGCGCTGATCAGTAGACTGGTGCCAGTCAGGTGCTCCTCTGATAACTGGCGCTGGTCTATATGCTGGCGCTGCTCAGCTAGCTGGCGCTGATCTGTAACTGGCACCAATCAGAACACCGGCGCTGGTCACGCTGGTCTAACGAGCCGCACAGATCCGATGACTGTCACTGGTCTGACGACTGGCGCTTAGAGAATGCCTGGCGCTTATCTGAAAGCTGGCGCCTATTCAGCAACTGGCGACGATCCAAAGCTAAAGCCTGGT